ATCATCATCATCACCACCCTTATCATCTTCACCGTCATTATGATCATCGTCACCTGTCTCTTATACACATCTAGATGTGTATAAGAGACAGATATATATATAGCCTCTAATGTGATTGAAACTCCAACGACAGCCTGACTTCTGATGTTTTTGTATGTATATCCCAAAACAGCCTGACTTCTGATGTTTTTGTATGTATATCCCAAAACAGCCTGACTTCTGATGTTTTTGTATGTATATCCCAAAATACCTTTAAAACTGTGTCAGTTACATATGTATGTATACATTTATATGTATATATATATGTATGTATACACATGTATGTATATAATGTATGTATATATGTGTATGTATATATATGGGTATATATTTATATATATATATATATATAAATTTATATATATATATAAATATCCGTTTCGGCTTTCCAGGCCTCATCAGTGCAGCTAGGATACAGACCCAAACGAAACGTTCGACCAGCTTAGGTAGGGCCAAGACTTGTCCCACGACCACTAATGATTTCAGAGCCAAACCAAGGCAATATATATATACACAGCCCATGTGTGAATGCAAATAGTGTATATTTCAACATACCTTTAAAACTGTGTCACTCAGGTATGGTGCGTTCAAACTATAGTACACACAGCATTATGCAATTTAACTAAAAGTAACATCAGGGAACAGTTAAAAACACCAAAGATAATACGTTTTTATTGCAAATATTATGCCTAGGTCTGAAAGTTTACTGAACATTCCTCATAGTCTTATGTCAGATATTTTCCAAAGACAGAAAGGAAGATAGAAAGATAAATAGGCGTGTAGTTTTGATGATGGGAAAGAAAAAAGATTCTAGGTTCTAGTCGTCAATTCCGTATAGGTATAATAGGCCTATTCTGTTTTGTTTTATTCTTGCAGGTAACTCCTCAACTTGGCAGGCGGGATGGAATGTAGCAAACTGTATGCAAGGCATCGGTATACTCAGTCTACCTTACACCATCAAACAAGGTGGTCTTGCCGCCCTCATTAGCATAGCTGCTGTTTTATTTATAGGAAACTATACAAGCAAGGTAATTAAGGGTTTTCAGAAAGAAGTTAGAATGTTTGGTAAATGAGGGGTAGGAAGAAAAAATGAATATACCGTTTCTGTATGAAATGGGAGGAGGAAACTCAACAAAGTGTAAAGGAACTGAAAAGGAAGCAGTTTTATACTATGTTTGGAATTTAAAAAGGGAACAGTGGTGTCGCCAGAAGGTGTAGGGGTCCTACAAAAAAAAAAAAACGCCGCAACTTTTGTAGCTTATTCAATTTGTGTATACAGCTACTTCCAAATTTATTCTATGTGTACATTTTGTTATCGTATTTAAGTTAGCTCTTTCAATAAATAAATCTGTAACTGTATATTTTCCTATAGAGCAATAAATATAGTAGAGTTCACATTATTAAAAGTATGATATTTATTTATTTACTTTTAGGGTGTAAAAACCCTAAGGAGCAACTTTTTTCTCTTTTTCTTCCATTTTGTTTCCTTCTTACTCAGTGGTGATGCCAGCGGGGGGGGGGGCAGCAGGAGCTTAAGTCCATCACCGGACAGGTCATGACCTCATATCGGACAGAGCTCGTCGGGGAGTCGGACTAAAAAAATCTAAAAATAGGCCCACGCCAAGCCAACACATGTCTGTCACAGTCTGCGAATGTCCTCTGGCCATCAGAGGTTGCTATTCTTAAAAAAATCTCATTTGGGAGTGGGAACTCTTCTCAAACCCTTTCCCCAGCTCGAGCCTACGAGCTCAAGTTACCCTGCCGGACAGCTCAGCTCCCCCCACCCCCGAAAAAAAAATACTCCTAGAGGCGCCACTGCTCACTCTCCTTCTTTTTTATTTTTCGGCGGGACAGAAGGGAGTGGGGAATCTGCCCCGATATTCAGTACAGCTGTTAACATACTAAAAATTATAACTGTAAATTGCTAGTACACTATTCTAAACATTAATGGGTAAAACTACTTATAGTCAAATAGTAGAGCAAATAAATTTAAATTTTAATATATTACAGTTTTTCTTTCGTTCTATTTCATACAGATCTTAGTACAATGTTTATATGAAGAAGAGCGTCTTGCAAATGGAAAGATTCGACGAGTTCGTGTGCGTAACACATATTCAGATCTTGCAGATGAAATGCACAAATATGGTGGAACACTTTTGAATATTATGCAAATTATCGACGTCACAGCAGTAGCAACACTTTACTTGGAGTTATCAGGCTCGCTATTGGTTGACACTTTTCCGTATGCTGGAATCTCCAAGCTCAGTTGGATTGTTATATCAACTGTAGTTTTATTGCCAACTATATTTTTCCGAAACTTGACTCGTATAGCATGGCTAAGTCTAATTGCGGTCGTATCGCTTATTGTTATGTACTTTAGTGTTGTATGGTATAGTTTTGGTAAGAGTTTAATGTGGGATTTATCAGAGATTCCACCGTTTCAGCTACAAGGATTTGCGGTGAGTTCTTCAATTATTTTATTTAACTTTGGCACACAGTTTATTATGCCTGGGGTGGAGGAGAGCATGACACACAAATCAAGTTTCAACATAATGGTGGACATAACATATTTCATTACGGGCGTTCTGAATACCAGCTACGCATTTTTTGCATACATTACGTTTGGTGAGGATACCAAGGAATTTATAACATACAATATGCCGCTAGGACTTCTACAAGGACTTGTCAGTATGCTGTTCGTTATCAAATCACTTTTATCTTATCCGTTAATGATCTTCATTGTCGTCAACTCGTTAGATGCAATGCAACTCCACGTTCTACCTCCTTGCTACTCCTCAAACCCAGACAAGCGCCCTCCCAACTGGGCTATGATTTTCCGCACCCTACTTGTCCTCTTCACATTATTCTTAGCAATCGTAATCCCTCATTACACATTGTTGATGGGTGTGACAGGGAGTCTGACTGCCCCTTGGCTGGATTTTATTTTGCCATGTTTATTTCATCTGAAATTGAAATGGCATAGATTAACAGGGAAACAGGTTTTTATGGATATCGTCGTGATATTTGTAGCTTTATTTGGCGGAATTGTTGGATTATTTTATTCATCTAAAGCTCTCATTCAAGCATATATTGAAGACTTCTCATAACGATTTATTGGATTATTATTAAGCTCTACACTTACTGTACTACTGTTACCCAAGGCATGCTTTATCAAAACTTTGAGTTGGCAATAATCGAGTACATGGACAGGGGCACTAGTGACTGCCTTGACACTGTCTTTCACTTTCAAAAGCATCCTTAGATTAAAGTTTTGATGCATAATCACAAAAGATGTAGTTTCTTCTAGAGGAAAATTTTTAGTAAGGAAAAATAGCAATAAATCCTTATTCTGATAAAATAAATTACATCTGCCTTAAACACGTTTTTATTTTGTTCAAAATAATGCACTATATATTGTATTATTAATGCATATATTTTATTGAATAATAGCAATAGAATAGTGCAATAACGAATTTTAATGGAATGCATTGTAATAACACCACATTAATGGATTAAAAAAAATAAAGTAATATACAAATAGCATACCGAAGACACTTAAAGGGAGACAACTTAATTGCCATCACCATCACCACTACCAACACCATCATCACCACCTTTACCACTATCATCATCATCACCACCCTTATCATCTTCACCGTCATTATGATCATCGTCACCTTCATTATTATCATCATCATCATCATTATCAGGATGATGATGATGATGGATCACAGATATAGATTTTTAAGCTTTGAGCCATAGGATGTCATAGATGGTAGGAAAACTGATGTGGTGCATGAAATATAATGATTAAAGTATATTATATATACAACTCTTTAGAATTAAGAAATGAACCCTCCTATGATGTAAAGTGATATAATTTTACCTTTCTCGTTGTTTATATATTAACGATTGTTTACCTCGTACCTGTATATTTCTGGGATTTTATTTTTTACAGCTTAGATTAAATGTAGATGTGACATTTTACGTTCATCATGTTCTCAAAGATAGGATGTCAAGATGTCAAGTTTAAGAAAACAAAATGTTATGAAATTAAAGATAATATTGAAATAATTGTTTTGTGTAGAGGAATAATTTTATTTAACATTTTAAGTTTCAAGGCTGTATTCATATGTATTGAAAGTGGCTACATTCCTTGTTCTTTTTTTAAAATTGATTGGCCATGACGGGAATTTATAATGCGCCCTTCCCTTCTTATACAGTAAAGGCAATTTATGGAAGGCAATCGCCGCCAAAAATACAGTTACAAACGAACAACCTACTCGCAAAACGTACAATCTACTCGCAGAAACGTACAACCTGCTCTCAGAAATGAACTACCTACTCGCAGAAACGAACAACCTACTCGCAGAAACCTACAACGCCCACTCTGTAAAGGAAAACGTTAGACTTTCACAGAAACGTACAAAGTATTAGCAAAAACAGACAATAAAAGACACTCACAGAAACGAACAACGTAGTCTCAGAAATGGATGCGCACAGCACTCTCAGAAAAGAATCTCACATCTTAAGACTGAATGTAATTTTCTTCTTGAACATAGCCCCCTCTATAATACTTGCCTCTCAATATGAGAAGCTCGTTATTTTAAGAAATGTTGTCCTTAAACACCGATGGATAACAATTTCGGGGCTGTGTTACTGTTATGCAGGCAAAATGAAATAGGGTGTGCGGCAGGTAGGAAGGACAAGGAGAATCAGAATACTATATATTTGCGCCTTAAATAGGTACCGGTAGTTCATTTGTTAGAAGGTGAAGGGGTTGTACGTTTTTGCGAGTAGGTTGTTCGTTTGTAACTGTATTTTTGGCGGCGATTGCCTTCCATAGCAATTCTTTTCCTGGTCCATTGCTGGTAATCAGCGCAGGAGCAGGCAGCGCCACCAGGTACCCATTTAGACTCCTGAGTGGAGAGAGATAAAGTGCCTTGCTCAGGGAGACAAGCGAAATGCACGAGGGATGAAACCCCGATATTGAGGTTGGGAAACCAAACCATTCCCGCTGCTCCACGCCGCTTCTTTTGCTAAGAACCAGCATTGTTGTTTTTTTCCCTTTTTTCTGAAGGTGCTATTATCAGAGAATACTATCCAGGAAAAGGGGTGTGATAATGTCAAATCACAGGCATATAATTGTGACAAATCACTTATTTTGTGGACAGAACTTTGAGGTTTTGCAACCTTACAAAAAATGATTACTTTTTTTTTTCATGCAAATGAAAATTCCAGTTTTGCACTTGACAACAAAATACAAGTACTGCACAGGCAAGCTTGCCTCAGCCTTTGACCCTGAGTGTTTGGCTTGAAATAGAAATATTCTGTTGACATTTCCTGTTATTTAATTGTGGTGAGTGTGCACCGAGACAAGAATATCATACTTTTTGAGAATACATTCTGTTAATGATAGGTTCGAACACAACTGCGCTGATTACTAATAATATGGAATTTTCCCCAGGGAGCTGAGTATGTTCTTGTTCTTATCTCTGTGCACACTCACCACCATGAAAGAAAATACGTGTTTCCAATGACCTGGGTAATAATGTGCAGCGCTTAGAGGCATTAGGCATGAAGCGCTATCTAAGACCGACATATTATTATTATTAATGATACTAATACTTATTACGAATGATATTAAAATACAGTACATCTTTTTTAAAAGCAAGACTTTTATAACATGTGTTTTCACGGCCTGTGCCAATTGATAATTAAAAAAAAAAAACAATTTCGAATTAATGTTGAATGGAAACCAGCACCACTTTAGAAACCAAAGTGTGTACTTAAACAGTTAAACACAAGTAATTCAATAGTATTTATAATTATGCTGCCTATTTCTATTCTACAAACTATGACACTAGATACACACGAATCGAAATGTTACACTGCAGTATTTGTCCCATGTAAATTTGTTTCTAGTGTCTACTCATATTCTTTAGTACAGAATATACAAATTTACTTAGGATGACTCTCCTGTTTGATATTATAGTGTCATTACACTCCCTTCTGCTGAAATGAAAAAATATATTTTTATTTAAGTTGATATAAAATTTTCGATAAATACTGTCCAACTTCAATAGGTAAATAGTAAATACAAAAATTAGCTGCTGTAATAAAAAACTGAACTGAACTTTAATAGAGAAATAACACTAAATGAGTAACTTACCAATTTGATAGTCTATAATTTCATCTGAATATGCAGGTTCACTGCTTCCCTGAAGGTTCATGGCAACTACTTTGACATTGTACATCTTTTTTCTAACCATAAACTCTTTGCTGTCTCTTAACAAATACCTAAAATGTAATTATTATATCATAAACCATGAAGCTTATATTTAAGAGCTAAATAAAATCTAGGTACAGGCCTTTAAGAATTCGTTTTGGAATTTATTTTTTTGACAGTCTGTCAACTAACAAAATTAATTCATTCACTTTTTATAATAGTAAACGGAACCGTGTCTGGTAGACATACAAAATAAAAACACTGGTAGCACTTTATACACTAACTTCAGGTGCAATTTTTTTAAAATTTATCATTGAAACGTTTGTGTTTAGTTCAACATTTAATCTGATTTATGTGAGTTTTTAATCGTTCAGTGAATTTACCTATACATCAGAATACTTTACCCTGTTATTTCCTTTGGAACATCTACCAAGAGTACCCATGGATCAAACAAATTTGCTGTAACTTCTTTTATAAAAACTTGGTAACCAGTGGGGGCACTGTACTCTGGAAGCGTGCTCGTTGTCCAGCGAATAAGCACTTTGTATTCACGCTCAATCTTGTAGTCTGCCAGTTTAATGGTAACAGGTACAGGAGGAGCAGGATAAGCTTTAAAAAAAAACAAACATATAATACAACTATTTTGTCAAAATTACTTCACAATCACCGGAAAATATTGTGTGCAGTAGTACTAAAGAATTCTTCAAGGCTGTTGGCTGTGAATACTAACAACAAAACAGACAAAAATAACAGCAGCACTAACAACAGCAACAGAACAACAACATCAGCAGCAACAATGTCAACAATAGTAGAAATATCAAAACTGGAGGGCACTCCTCAGTATAAATTTCCCCCGTATATTGTCCCAATAAAAAAAATAATGGGAAAAAAAAACCATGTAGACTCTCTAGGATTTGAACCCACGGCTGGTAGTGTGGAATACACTCTTCTAACCACCACTACACCAAACTGTTTTCACACAATATCACTTTGAAAATAATAGTCATATGTTTGTTTACACTTTACCGGCAAGCCTGTATAAACACACACACACACACACACGTCTATACGGCAACAAGCCGTATACAAGTTCTTCGATCAAATTGTGTCTTTGACCCGACCCTTCAAAATGTAGTCACTTCCAGACTAAAGGAACATTGTAGCCAAGTTTGACAAATTTTCGACAAAAACTGTTTCAAAAAATCCTTTTTGCTGATTGTGACGTTGACCTTTAACCCTTACCCTTCAACATTCAGATACTTTTGAAATCTTTGGTCATGGAACATTGTGACCAAGTTTAACAAGTTTGTGATGAAAACTATGGGCTGTAGACAGATAAATTTAAAAAAAAAAGGTTTTTCGTTAATTGTGATCTTGACCTTTGACCTTGACCCTTCAAAATTTAATCAGCTCTAGATCTTAGGCAAATGCACACTGTGGCCAAGTTTGACAAATTTGTGATAAAAAACTATGGTCTGCAGGCTGTTCACAACAAATATGCCAACAGACAAATAAATAACTATATAAACAGGCAAAAATATTAAAACGCCTGTCAACTTTGTTGTCAGAGGTAATAACAAGACCAACAACAATTTTATTTTTATTATAATGTGATTCTTTTTTTTTTTCAAAATGTTTACGTTGTTTCCAGTTTCTTATGCAATTTTCGTTAATTACATTGTCGGCGACAGCTGATTGTGTGCATGAATGCGTTATTGATGATAACCAAATTGCACTGGTTCTGATGACGCAATGATCCCGGAAGGCCCTCGGGCGAGAATTTACAAAGCAGAACGAATAACAGAAATGGAATGCGGTGATTTGCTGGTTACGTAGAAGAAATAAGTGAAATACACCAAAATGACATGTCTCTAGTATGAGATGCAACTCAGAGCTGCAATGCACAGTGTGGGGATTTTGTTTATTACTGAATTTTTCATATTAAATTCACGCCACCAAACACTGTAATTATTATTAGTATTGTATTATTATTATTATTGAAAATGATCAAAATTTGTTGTGACGTCACTTTGATGACGTGAAAATTTCCATTAACACATTTTGTGATACATGGTACTACGTTAAATTGTTCACTTATAAAAGCTACTTACGCTCTGATTTGCTCAGATCAGATGCGTTACGTGTTACAAAAATTGGTATTTGTGTTCTAGATTTGAAAAATGTTCACAAGTTTTCCTAGCTTAGCCTATTTCCATAATTCATGTGCTCAGCTATCACACTACAATGTTCTTTCACAAAATGTATGCCTACTTCTAAAGTGTGACAACAACAGCAATAACATCAGTAGTAGCAGCAAATGTACAATGTAAATTATTCTTTTTTGTCACATTCCAAATTTTTGAAAATTGGAAATTTTGGACAGCCGCAGTACTGCCATATAACTCTCATGCGAGGGTTATTCGAGGAGCAGAGCGATCAGTCTAATTAAAACGTAGGGCCTGTTTCTGCTGAGAAAAAAAAGACGTGTGTTTTCCCCAGTAGAAACGGGAAAGAAAACGAAAACACGGTTAGGAATGCGTTGTAAAAACGCGTGTTTTTACACGCGTTCGTATAGGGTTCGCGTTCAGAAAACACGTGTTTTGTTGCTCACTTTTCAGCTGCAACGCAATACCGTGTTTTTCATGACCCATCAGTGACCCAAATTGACCTCTTCGTTGGTTTGATCGCCCGTCTGCGGGAAATTCGGGGCGAAGAAAAAAATTAAACCAATAGGATGACGTACATGCTTGAAGATCATACCATACTTTTTTCATACTTTCGTGGTGTTTTGTTTACTTCTTTCGCAGCATGCGCTGTACCTCGTAAAAAAGTAAGGTCAGCTTCAACTTCCGTTGGTGACCATCATTTAAGCTCCGCTCACCTGCCAATGCTCGCATTACCGTGTTTTTATTAGTTGCACTTTTCACTAGAAACGCGTTCAGAAGGAATTTAACCGTTTATAAAAAAACACGCGTTTCAGCAGAAACACGCCCTAAGTGATAACCGGGTTTAAACCAGGATCTTCGGCACAAAAATCAAGAACATTATCTTTCGGCCACTGCAAATATTCAGCTCTAAGTGGCAGTAATAGAAGGAATTCACTTATAATTTGCCGTATTCGATTGGTCGTTCTTCGTTAAACCACACCCATCTGCGGAGTGGTGAAATCCTAGTATAGATTTTTCTTTAAAAAAAATGTTTTCTTCATCCAGTTTTTGAATTCTGTTAGCCTACAATTATTTTTTGACTTCATGTGGGTAAATATTATAATTTATATTTTCTAAAAGTTAATCTAAATTATATTAAACACACATGTTGTTGCTGAACTGACAAATCCGCCATGTTTTTTTTGGTCACGTAGATAACTTAACTCTTTGGTTTACGTTAATTTTCTTGTCAAACGAAGTCTATTTTACGGACCAGTCGAATGGAAATAATACTCAACGAAAAATTGTAGTCAACGAAATGAACCAGTCGATAAGCCCAAAGTTTAATATTTAAACTGCTGTTAAAAGTTGTTTTTTTAAACCACTTACCATGTTTCTTTGTCCTGACTGATACCACTTTTGAGTGTCCACTTGTCTTTGCTTCATATGTGTACTTCGATGTCATACAGATGTGGTAGTAGGTAAATGCTCTGAGTAAAGTTACAACCAGGCTTGTGGCATCACCATCTTTGGTCGGCATCATTTGAAAATTACTCAGATTATAAATATTGTAAGGGTAACCAATTTCTTTTGGGTACAAGATGTCCTTGTGTATTTGGCTTGAATCGACTAATGGCCTGTAAGATAAGATAAAGTTATTAGAAAATTGTAGTATATGAAGCTTCTAGGGTAAGATTCTAACAATGTAATGCACATGGTCATAATGAAATTATAGAAACTAAGTAATTATAACAGAAAGTATGAAAATTAATTGGAAGGTTTGTTGTTTTAAAATTAACAAATTCTAAGGCCAAAATATACAATATAACTCTGGCCTTGATAGTGAGAGGTTGCAGGCTCAATTTTGTCAGATAGTTGTAGTTATGAAGGGAGTTCACGACTGTCTCGGTCTTGTTATTTTTGTTTCTGATACTTATTTATTCCGACTGATCCAAATTAGTTTCTGTACTTTCATTGCCATATAATGTGATTCTTCTTTTGTCTTTTGTGGGATCGTCCTATACTTTCATTTTCCATTCATCAATTTTAACTCTGTATTTACAATCTAAACATACAGGTGACATTATTTACATATTTAGTATGATCTTTCTTTTAAAAATGTATATAAAATTTGTCCACCTCAATTGACAAATATAACACTCTTCTAAACAATTCAATTTTAATTTAATTCAACGAGGAGTCAATCAGTCAAATGATTGATCGAACAATTAATATACTATTTACTTAATATATTATCTAAATACAGAGTACCTATAACATTATTCTACTTCAATTGTGTAATTTAATCAGCCAACAGCCAAATAGTCATTTAGACAACCAATCAGTTATTTTTTTTTTTTTTAAATATTTTTCTTAAATTATCTTTTTATTATAATGAATATCTTTTTTCAATATTACGTTGTTCCAGTTTGTTATGCGATTTTCGTTAATTGCATTGTCGGTGACAGCTGACTGTGGATGCCTTATTGATAACCAAATTGAACTGGTTCTGATGACGCAATGTTCCCGGAACGTCGTCGGGCGAGAATTTGCAAAGCAGATCGAATAGCAGAAATGGAATGTAGTGATTTGCTGGTTACGTAAAAGAAATAGACGCAATACATAAAAAAATGACATTCCACTCACGTTTGATGCAAGTTAGAGCTGCAATGTGCAGTGTGGGGATATTGTTTATTACTGAAGTTTTCATATTAATTCACGCCACCTAACATTGTAATTATTATTATCAGGCAAAAATAAGATGATTAAAATTTGTTGTGACATCACTTTGATGACGTGACCATTCCTCCATGATACTACGTCATGTTGTTCACTTGTAAAATCTACTTACGCTCTGATTTGCTCAAATCAGATGCGTTACATGCTACAAAGGGTGGTATATGTGTCTAATTCTGGATTTGAAAATTGTTCATATGTTTTCCTAGTGTAGCCTAATTCCATGTGCTCGGCTATCACACTACAATGTTCTGTCACAAAGTGTACGCCTACTTCTAAATTGTGACAACATGTAGTCTATAACAACAAGCATGACTAAGTCTCCCCAACAAAAATTGTACAACAAATTGAAGATGGTCGTGCAAGATTGTGCACGGCCATAAAAAAATTCCACCTGCCCATATCACACCTAATAAACTCCAATGTTCCGCACCCACGTTCAATACAACATGCCAGATGGCTCTTCCTGTTTTTAGTCTCATAACAATAAACTATTTCGTCTTCCATCTTTTCCCACTATTATGTGCCATTCTCTATTTATGCATTATCACACACCTCAATGTAGTTCGCTTGCTTCTGGATATATTTTTACAATGCATAATTTAAGTATAAAAAAAATGCACTGTTACAAACGCTGATGTAGAAAACAACAGCTAATGTAGTAACAACCGTTAATGTAGCACACTCCACAGCTTATGAAGTAGAAAGAAAATCAACCCCAGCTAATGTAGAACGCTCAACAGAAATGTAGTAACCTCACAGCTAATGTAACTACTATTGCCATCTAATGTAGAATACAGCATAAAGTCTTATATCAAAGGGGAACATATAATCGAGGTTACCAGCTTTAAACTATTATGTCTTTAAACTATTATCAACAGCACTGCATTTCGTCGAAAAATTGTTTCAACTTCTGTTTTTGATGCCTGTTTGTTGTTTGCCATCGCACAGTATAGTCCTAAATGAATATTGTTCTAAATAAATTATGAGATAAATTACCTCCGATGGGAATCGAACCTGTGACCTATTGCTGTCAAGGTGAACGCCATAACCACTAAACCACCACCATTTTATCATATATGTATTTTATATGGATATAGGCCTATATTTTATATTTTGCTCTGACGAAGGGCTATTACCAAAGGGAGGCATTTATCTCTGGCTGTTTACTTATAATAAGATCAGCGGCGGATCTAGGTTGAAATTTACGGGAGAGGGGGGGTCAGAATATTTATTTAAAAAAAAAACCAAAAAGAGAAAGCGGTTGGGGTCCTCCACTGGGAAAATTTTGATTCCTAGATGGCGAGAAATGAGCTTGCCCGACTTCTGAAGTGTCTTTTAATGACTTTTAAGTTCTTCAAAATTCAAGGTTTTATGCCCTCTCGAAACTTGAAAACGGTCAGTTAAATTTTTCTCATTCTTATTACAGTAAATAGGCCTATCATGTGTGTACCGGTATAGGTCTATACAGAAAAAAATAAGTACAGTAGTTGCATACGTGTTCTTTTTTCCATGAATCGATGAACTCCAAAGAAAGAGGGTCGGGTGTCCTCCCCGGGAAAATTTTGATTCCTAGATGGCGGGATATGAGCTTTCTCGACTTTTGAGGTGTCTGTTAATAACTTTTAAGTTCTTAAAAATTAGGTTTCCCGCCTCTTGTAAATGGTCATTTAAAATTTCTCATTCTTATTACAGTAAATAAGCTTATGTGTGTACATACATAAAAAAAAAACATTGGGTAGTTGCTTACGTATTCTTTTTTTCATGAATCGATTAGCCTTAAAGAGGACGGGGGGATCGGGAAAATTTTGATTCCTAGATGGCGGGTTATGAGCTTTCCCGACTCCTGAGGTGACTTGTCTTTAATAAGTCATTAAAAGTTCAGGTTTTACCCTCTAGAAAACGATTCAATGAATCTATGAACCCCAAAGAGAAAGGGGGGTCCAGGTTCTCCTTTTGAAATTTGTGATTTCTAGGTGACCGGAAATGAGCTTTCCCGACTTTTAATTTTCCCAATGTAACAAAACAGAAAAAAAAATTAAGCTCCCGGGTCCTGGAAAAAGTAGGCCCCTGATGCCCTCCAGATCCGCCAATGTAATATATATTAGGTAGATATATAAGACAGACCAACCGACTGATAGACATTATTAATAATGCACGGCACTCACTAGCCTGGTTCACGTCGAACTTTTATCTAGATATACATCCACTTAACTAGTTAAAAGTTCGACGTGAACCACTCAATTATAGCTAGATAAAGGCTTAGGTGACTTAAAGTAAAGTGACTAAACTTTACTAGAATAACGTAAATTAACTTGCTTAACGGTAAAGTCGGCTCGGATTACAAGGACACGATTACGTAACGTAGGCATCTAAGACAGCGTTGTTGTATTGTACAGTACCACCATTATCACCTTCTGGCTGGCAACAACGTACTCCAACAATGCTAACAACAGCATCAAGTAGTCTCATTAGTCTGGTTTTCAGAAATTATTTGTAATATTACGAGTAAAAACCAAGCAAACGTCCGTTTTACGAATAGTCGATATTACCAATGACCTTTGCCTTTTGCATCATCGCCCAAGTAACGCAATCCTATTTCAAAAAGTACTACCCAAAAGGGGCGTGGCCTTTAAAAGAACGTATTAAAGTGCGTTCATATCGAACGCGTGCTGCGCGTCTATAGAATGTATGCTGGAATTCGAAACGCAGTACGCGTTCGATACGAACGCCTTTTACGTGCTTATGAAGGACACGCCCCCTCGTGGGAGCTTTTAATGTTCCATTGCCTGTATAAAAGATAAGGGCAGTCGGACCTCTTGCAGTTTTATACTCTTTGGCAATAACGTTAAAAAGTCCGATTGCGTGCGTTTTTCAAAGTGATAATGTATATTTTTCTTAATAATAAAATCGGATTTGTTGTATTTATTTATTGACAATTCAATCTTTTCCATTTCTGCTATAATAGCAGAAAACTTCGAAACTAATTCAGTTTCGAAGAACTACCACCAACGCCAGTCGTTAAAATGAGCGCACATGTTTACGATGAAGAAATAAAAAAGTGTGTGGAAGTCAGCAACTTATTTGACACCGCGAAGCTAGATTTTGAAAATGAAAATTAAAATAATATTTTGTTAAATGGAAGAATGCTAGCTAGCGATTAAAATAATTCGTTTTTTATCGAAGGTAAAATTAGCTAGGGCCTAGAGAATCTTTTAGATTGCGATAGAACACGCTGCTGCACTGTCGTTGGTACTGGTCGGCTAGACGCAGGGTTCCCGGAACGCCGCCCTCAGCGGCGAGTGCGAAGCACAACTCAGGGTCTAAAGTGGAACGTGAAATTTGGATATGGTTTCGTAGTCAGATTTGCAGGAAAAACTTCAGCTACCCGTATTTCTCGACTGAGACGTCAGTAGGAGCTGTAATTTGTATGGCAAGGAGATTGTGCAATCCTTAATTCGTATTAAGGGAATTTACGCCCAGAAACCTTGTAGTTATTAATATTTTGGTTATAATAGAAAGTATTCATTTTTTGGTAACGTCACACTAACGTTAGGTAGCATGCATACGTCATAAGCTAGATCTTTTCCTGGTAAGGCAAACTTTCCCGGCGTGCTTTTTTCATGGATAAACAAACACCACTGCTTTGCACATGGATGACTTGCCCATCCACAGTGGCGTATCCCTGTCTCTTATACACATCTAGATGTGTATAAGAGACAGCCATTCGAAAACTTCGAAGCAAAAAAAATTAGGCTAGGCTTATGCTTATGCTGTCACGGTTAACGTGTATTTGGGATTCTAAGAAGCAATATTTTTCAGAGGGCGTGGCCACCAAAAATAAATTCCACGCCCCCTCATATTTTGGTCGCGCCAAGGCCTACATAATAGTTTCATATTGCTTTACTATATACTCCAACATCACTGGCGCATGGTAACAACTAGCTGAATGCAGACCATTTCCGGTCACACATTACTCTCCATAACACAGCACCCCCTAGTTCCGTCACCTCTGGGTTAAGTAGTGGAAACTCACACCTTCTCTTTACAATTTTTTTTGAATGAATACCACTTGGTACTAGAGGTTCGTAAAATACAGTAGATGTTTTATTAAACAAGCCTTTCCACCGTGTGACGTCGACGGCCTGAAACTGGTTGGCTGTTTATCTGGCTCCTGTCTCTTATACACATCTTTGCCTGTATAAAGGAAGAAAAAGCACAATTCGTCGGGGAGAGAAAAAATCATGTATTTTCTACATATTAGTACTCTAAAATTGATTAAATAAAGCCGTTGAAACCCCAATTGTCAAACTTTTCGATGGCTTCGCCTCCTGGACTTTTGCAACATTTTAATCGAAGCTCGACCACGTCCACTTTGCTTTCGTCGGGGAAATCTGACCCTTCGTCGGGACATCACCCCCCCCCCTCGTCGTCGATCTCGACCCCTTCTGGAGGTCGTCGGTTCGTTTCCCACCAGAATCACTTGCAAATATGTTCGCAAGTATTTGGGAACGTACTGAGTATTCGGTACAATAATACGTCAGGTAGGGCAAAAAATCACTCCTAAGAGAAAAAATTGCAAATTCATTCTCTAAATAGAGTCATTCCCTATGAATCCAACACACTTTTCTGCCCGACCCCCTTCAAATCGCCCAATATTTTGAATGTTGGGGGTTCTACCTGAGATAACCCCACAGTGAAATTTTTGGCTCCGCGCCAGCATTTTCTGACGAGTTAGAGCAATTTGAAATTTTCATGAGATTTGGCTAAAAAACTCATCTCTGACAGACAACTGCTGATATCTCTCTTGAAACTCAACCAGAAATTCTGGTACCGTTGGATAGAGAAGAAGATTCTCTTTCCAATGGTATGCAACTCGATGATGTCCGGACTAGTAAGAATTATATAGGTCAAGTCACGTGACCTTGACCTTTGACCCAAAATATCACAAAAGTATATATCTCGATTTTTGGAAAATTCACACCTCAGTTAGGACACTTAGCCCACATGATGCCCCTAAAGTTTTATTGTGGGCAAATGAAATATATTAGCCCTAGACTACATTTTGTGTCTAGGTATTGATAGTTTCACTGAGTTTCCAGGAAATCTGCTGATAGATTCTATAAAATTTGGCACCATAGTATAGTGAAAATCAGGGGCCCCGTGACCCTTTTTCTGGGATTAAGGTTTCACTGCTGATTTAGCATCACTAGGGTATAAATAAGAAATTGAGAGAGGGAGAACCTCCAGAAAAAGGGCCGAACATATTTTTTTTGCGGCCATTTTCAAAATGGCCGCCAAAATTATGATATTGACTCATAACTTCACTTATATCAAATGAAAAAGGGCAAATCTGGTGTCTAACTATAGTTATTATGGTCACTGAATCCAATGAGACAGGTTTCGAAAACGCGAAATGGCAGCCATATTGAAACTCAAGATGGCCGCCTTAAAAATGGTAAAAAAAACGCTAAATTTGGTGTCAAATTATGATGGTCACTGAAGCAAAAAAAAAAATGTTGTTAATTGCCTAATTTTTTCGTAGCCGAAATGGCAACAATTTCGTGTCTAATCACATGTTGTGTCTCTCTATATATTGATTTTTGACAATTTTCATGGCAGCCATCTTGAATTTCAAAATGGCTGCCATCATAGCTTTTTCAAATCATGTTTATTGAACTCAGTTGACACAAAACCATATAATTTGACACCAAATTTAGCGTTTTTTCACCAAATAGAAGTGGAGTTACATGCCAAAATATTCAATTTTCGATGGTTTTTTATGGCGGCCATTTGAATTCCAAAATAGCTGCCATCCTAGATATATGAAACTATTTATATTGGACTCAAAGAGCCCAATAACATATGCTTAAACACCAAATTTAGCATTTTTCATCATAGAAGTGGAATTACAAACTAAAATATTCAATTTTTGAGTATATATATATGGCGGCCATCTTGAATTTTAAAATGACTACCATCCTAGCTTTTTGAAATTATGTTTATTGTATTCAGAGAGCCCAAAATCATATGATTAGATCCAAATTTACCATTTTCCTTAGAGGATATGTGGAATTATACTAAAATATTATTTTTTTGACCATTGTTAAGGCGGCCATCTTGAGTTTCAATATGGCTGCCATTTTACGCTTTCGAAACCTGTCTCATTTGGCTTCAGTGACCCTAAAAACATATAGTTAGACACCAGATTTGCCCTTTTTCATTGGATATAAGTGAAGTTATGAGTCAATATCATAATTTTGGCGGCCATTTTGAAAATGGCCGCTAACAAAATATGTTCCGCCCTTTTTCTGGAGGTTCTCCCTCGCTCAATTCTTATTTATACCATAGTGATGCTAAATCAGCAGTGAAACCCCAGAAAAATGGTCACAGGGCCCCTGATTTTCACTATACTATGGTGCAAGTTTCATAGAATCTATCAGCAGATTTCCTGGAAACTCAGTGAAACTATCAATACCTAGGCACAAAATGTAGTCTAGAGCTAATATATTTCATTTGCCCGCAATGAAACTTTAGGGGCATCATGTGGGCTAAGTTTCCTAACTGAGGTGTGAATTTCCCAAAAATCGAAATATATACTTTTGTGATATTTTGGGTCAAAGGTTAAGGTCACGTGACTTGATCTACATAAATCGAGTTGCATATCATTGGAAAGAGAATCTTCTTCTCTATCCAACGGTACCAGAATTTCTCCAATACGTTGAGTTTCAAGAGAGATATCAGCAGTTGTCTGTCAGAGATGAGTTTTTTTTTAGCCAAATCTCATGAAAATTTCAAATTACTCTAACTCATCAGAAAATGCTGGCGCGGAGCCAAAAATTTCACTGTGGGGTTATCTTAGGTAGAACCCACAACATGCAAAATATTGGGCGATTTGAAGGGGGTCGGGCAAAAAAGTGTGTTGGATTCATATGGAATGACTCTATTGTTGTTTTTCAATTTTCTATATGTTTTTTTTTAATTTAAAATATTTTCATATTTGATAAAATTTAAATAACTGAACCTAAAACATAATGACATACTTCTGCCTGTAATGTATCTGATAGTAGAGGATGGGTGGCTCATACTCTATAGGGACAGACCATGTGACAGTAATTGTAGCATCTGTAGGCTCATAGGTCATCACCTCTGGAGCACCAAACACTGCAAGAACACCGTAACATATTTGTATCAGCAAAATGCCATATAATTAGTCTAATATTCTACTTTAATAATGCAGAAAAAAAAGAAGAAAAGTAATGTATAATAAAGAATGTTATTATCCAACAATTATGGTGAAGATAAATGCACAAAGACACAAGTTTGGATACTAATACTGATAATAGTAATGATTCTGGTTGAAACCACCCCGCAGTGTTTAATAACACTGCTGGGAAACCAAAATAATATTTGATCCTAAACTAACACACCCAACAACCTATTTCAACGTATTGCCTTTTTTTTTTAATGGAAATTTATGGTACGAAGGCTTGTGTCGGGTGGTATTTTCAGGCTTTAAGGAGAACATGAAAATCAAAAGTGCAGAACCTGTGTGTATTACAGCACTGGCCGTTCATCTAGTTTTATGTATATATAAAATTAGAAACATATACTTTTAATTATAATTATTATCATAATCATTTAGTTTCCTTTGCACACTTCATCAAAATAATACACATAACAACTTCAGAGGAAATTAGTCTGTCTACTGTTTTTTTAAAATTCAAATACTATTTTATATTTACTAATTTATATGGTACTAATTTATATTTAAAATCATAATCAAAATCATTGACTCGCACTAACACGGACACCACTGGGTATTGCATTTGGTAGCCACAGTGCCTTTTCCTGTACAGTATCGGCCACCATATTGGGGTAGGGGTTGATTACATATTCGTGTCTTTGTTTGCTTCCCACCTCCACAGGTGACGGTACATGCAAACCAAGATGTCCAGCTTCCCCAGCCACCATGCACTAGAACAAAGAAAATACATTCATTAGAAATCAACATTCCTTCAAGATTGACTAAAGAGTGGAAAAGAAATTGATATAATCCCATTGTTGCTGTCCACAAGTATTCTTGTGGTCATTGATTCTACAGATAATCCAGAAATACTTTGCACAGCCAATCACAGAATAATGAGCTCAGGGTGTTTCTATTTCTAACATAAGCAATTGAAAGTCTGCACAATAAATTTATTTGTACATGCAAAGGACTGTCATGGAAACGTTAAATGAGTATGGTAACTACAGTATTGTTTATAAACGTATAAAGCCCCACTCACGTGCAGTGGCGGCTCTAGGATATATTTTCTGGGGGGCTAAGTTGTCCTACAGGGGGACTTGAGCTCGTAGGCTGGAGCTGAAGGAAGGGGACTTTCCAAATGCCAAATGAGATTTTTTAAAAAGAAGATCAACCTCTGGATGGCCGGAAATGGCACTCTCAGACTGTGACAGACATGTGTTGGCTTGGTGTGGCCCTATTTTTATATGTTTTATGGTCTGACTGCCCGACGAGCTCTGTCCGGCGGGGGGGGGGGGCTTGACATCGCTGGCGCCGCCACTGCTCACATGATGCCTCTTTTGAGATGTCATTTTCATTTCTAGGTATTCATGATTGGGAAAAAAACGTATCAAAAGAGTACTAAATCTGCTATAAAAAAGAATACTGTATAATTAATTCTTCTTTCATATATATTTAAGGAAAAGGTTTTGAGGTCTAACAATTTAAGATACACCTCCATGTAAATCTAATAAGCTTAAAAATAATTATATTTAAAAAAAACAAAAAAACTAATCGGCTCACTTTGTGTACTTTGGTTAATGTTTTCGATAACAGTTGGAGCCATAACAAAATTTCTGCTAACAACTTTAAGAATTTTCATATAAAACATCTACAAATGACTGAAAATTGATTTTATTTTTGTCTGTGACTTGTAGAAAGTTGGTTTTTTTAAATGAACAATTTCAACTTTTATTTTAAATATTTTCTCTATATTTTTGGGTGGCAGTATATGTTTACTAAGTGTAAAATGTGGAGGCTCAAAGTTACCAGCACAGGGCCCAGTATTGCATTTCTGCCACTGTGTATAAGGATCTGAAGCTGGACAGTCTTTCCCTCCAAAGCGTGGCCTAGGATTTGTACATGAACGCTCTCTAGCCTGTACTCCACCAAGGCAACTGGCCGAACAAATTGACCAGGCTGACCACCATGTCCATTCTCCATCTGTTAGTACACCAATTAAATTTTTTTAGATAAAAATAACAAAATCTAAGGTGAATAAATTATACATTAGATTTAAATAAGGATAACAATTTTGTAAAAAAAAACCAGTCTTTTAACACATAAATAAGGACACCCCCTAAATTTTCTCGAAAAAATATATAAATAATTAAAACACCATGTTATTTACATCTTAGAAATAAAAAAATAAGGGGAAAAATATTTAGGCATATTATGATTGCATGTCCATAAAGTGCACTTTATAGCTTTTCGTGCCACGGAGGTTTTCCATACTAGTATTGAGATGTCTGGCATTTCGGCTTTTCTTTAAAATCAGATAGCCTGAAAACAACCACAATACCAACTGATACCTGCTCTTGGCCCGTGGGAATGTAAGTATTGAATTGGATATATGTATTTTTTACCAACAAATTTTTAATGTTTTCCAGTTTTAAATGTTTTTAATGGCACTGTTTTTTTTTTAACGTAAATGTAACTAGTAAATCTCATGTAATTCAGCCTTTTGGCTACGACTAGAAGATTAATAAAGAATAATAAAAAAAAGAATAAAGAATAAAAGGATGATTCTACTTTTTCTGGCATTCATTAATAAGATAAAAACATTTAGGCCAAATATTTAAGATGTAAATATAAAAAACGTAAAATTTTATTAATATAAAATTTTTTAATGAATTATGTTTTGCCCTCTCGGAGAATGTTCTGGTATTATTTACATCTTATCTACCATGGATTTTTCATTTGGTCCTGTAGTTTTACTATATGAAATTTTAAAAGATGGCTTATAAAAAGCGGTTTAAAAATATGCTTTCATTTGGATTGAAAAAATGGTAAGTGATTGTTAATTTCCAATTTTCATATTAGATACAGAGATTTATATATGAGACCATGCATGCATTAAACTGTGTGGTATAGATGTGTATAAGAGACAGGCCATATAATTAGTCTAATATTCTACTGAAGAAGCAATCTCTGACCAGATGGACTTATAGCGGCACAGACACGATTGCAGGGTTTTGTTGACACGATGGAAAATCCATTAACAAGGATTGACAGCTGCCTATCCAAAAGTGCAGCTGAAGCAGTAAAAACAAACCGGGCGGTTCTGACGTCGATTATAATCGATAGAGTATGTGGCCGACATGGCATAGCGTTTAGAGGACATAAATATGACGGTGCCTTGGAAGACTGCGATGACATTTATTCAGATGATGTTATGAGTGGTGTCGAACGGTCTGGAAACCTGCGGTCTTTAATCAAATTTCGAATAGACGCTGGAGATCAAACACTGCAAGAACACTCTGCAACATGCTCAAGAAATGCTACGTACATTTCCAAAACAACGTAAAACGACTTGTTGATTTGTATCAAGAAGTTTATTCAAGAAAGTATTATTGAAGAAGTTAAAAACAATCAATTGGTTCCCTCTATGCCGTTCAAACTCATGAAGTCACAGATAGGTCAAACACAGAACAACTCGGCTTGGTCTTAAGGTATACCAAAGAAAATTCTATTATCGAACGCCTTTATGAATATGTAAAATTACTGGTAAAGCTGTATCTGAAGACATTCTTCACAAGACATTCTTCACATCCTCCGTCGTGCTGGTCTTAATCCATGTGATTGTTCAACACAGACATATGATGGTGTAGCAAACATGGCTGGTGAGCAGAAGGGTTGTGCAGCAAGATTCAAGAAACATGCACCTAGAGCCTCATACAGTATTTCCTTTGCGCCAGTCACGATCTGAACTTGGCATTGTCAAAATCCTGCTCCGTTAGTGACATCCATTGCATTTTGGTAACAATTAAATAAGTTGGGATTTTACTCAACTAAACGGCAAAGATTATTAGAGGAGTGCATTGCGACCCACAATGGAAATCTACCGAATGGTTAAAAAATTGCAGTCAAAAAGATAAATTACTTTTTTTTTCTCTGTCGTGGGAATTTCACCCATTTTTATTTCTATCTCTTTTTGTTACATTTTAATTTTTTTTTCTGTCATCAATGACATAAAACATAAAAATTAAAACTAAATTGCACTAAAAAAGGGTCAGTCCGCAATGGCTGACTAATGTTTTTAACTCATCTTTTAAACTTTTATTAATTTCTGAAAAATACATTAATATATTCTTTTTCTTTTAGGTCCTAAAATGTAATTCATTGAATATGTTAAAATACATCTCATTCCAAAAATGTACTTACACATGCACATGTATATACTGTATATATACAGGCACATACATACACTACCTATACATATACATTTTTTTAAATTTCAACAATTCCTAATTGTTTTTCTTTTATGTACAAAACAGAAAGGTAACTGCTGATGTAATATCATTAATAATGTTAATGAAGTCAATACCATTTTCCATCTCAGATCAATAATTAATATAATAATCTTTATAATAATAAAAACAAAAGTCAAGAACTTTCTTTTAGTCATTTTCAAACGTTTTCAAAAGTACATCATTGTATATATTTATACACACACATACAAAAACACACATACTTAAACATATGCACACACACGCACACACCCATCCATACACACACATATTAAATTTACAAATACAGTAATACAAATTTTCGTATGTATTAATTATCTATATACATGAAATACAATTTTTTTCTCCAAATTTCGTTAAAATTACACCAACTGCAAACCAAAGAGCTACCGCATTATGTTGACAATATCACTGGTAATGGTAATGATATTGACATTTTACCATCCGATCAATAATAATAATAATAATAATAATGATAATCTTTATAATAAAGGGCATATAATTATTGAACAGTCAAAAGAGCATATTTAATAAGCCCATTGCGTTCATATCCTTTACAATATAGGCCTACTTAAACGCTATCCAAGGGATCGTACATACTGGCTTGTTCAGCTCAGTTAAAATTTTAATTTTGTAATTAGCGTAGACTGCAATGGAATACATTTGGTTCTTAATTTTACTGTCACAACCCAAGAGGAGTTCTTTAAAAGAACTACTGCTGTTGTTGTTGTTGTTGTTGTTGTTGTTGTTTTGAAAATATTGTCTATTTTTTCCATAACATATTATTACTTAAGCATTCAAAGAACATGTGTTTTTCTTCCTCCAATTCACCACATTTGTTACATGTATTGATATCTTTTAGCTTCCAATTATATAGTTGCATATTGGTGGGAACAACTTTGTTTAATAATTTAATAATTCATTTGTGCATATTTTCTATTTTTTTCATTTTTCACTTTTCGCTTCCAAACATCATTCCAACTTATATCTGCATTGTTAAATACCTTATTCCATTTACTCTGACTTTTAACGAAACTTAAATAAATAGCTTTTGTTTGCATTTGAACTATGTTGTTAATTACCATATTCTCATCTGAATTCACATGTATATCATGTTTCGTATTTTGCTTAATTAATTTCACCCATTCATCTGGAATAGCCTCAATTAGTGAAATATATTCACTCATCCAATTTCTTTTAATACATATTTTTTCAAGAATTTCGTTAGGTTTCATTAGACGATTAAAAATAATTATATCACTAATCTTATTGAAACCTTATGTACTCCAGTTCCTATAGAACAGGGATTTGTTCCTATATGTAATTGCTTTATTACCCCATAAGCTTTGTTTAATTACTTTTTCATACGTGTTAACTACATAATCTTTATTGGTATTATTTAATTCGACACAGCATTTTATAACATAAAAAGAAGGTATAGTATCAAGGCTCGTGTTACTTGTCAGATTAATAATATTTGACATAATCAGAATCACTCTTTCGTTTCCAAATTTGTTTAAATAGTATAATGGTAATAGTTTCCACCTTACGTGTTTCCTACACAGTATTTTCCTTGCCCATGTAATCTTGAGCGCTTTAACGTGTAAAGAAAAATCTGGCATAGTTATGCCTCCTTCAATCAGTTTACCGATTAACGTTTTTGTTTTTATTCTTTCCGTTTTTCCATTCCATAAAAAATCGTATGCTAGTTTATTTACTTTGAAAATTACGTCATCTGGCACATCAATTATACAAGCATTGTATGTAAGCTTAGACAGAGCCACTCTTTAATATTGTAACCTTGCCAAAAAAAAACGTTAGGTTTCTACCTTTCCAAGTATTGAGCAACCTTTCTAAGCTTATCATTTACTACCCCAATTTAATTCGTTACATTTTTTATTGTTATATCCCACATATACCCAGAATCTTAATTGGTTCATCTACCCAATTTAGGCTACATGATTTTTCATTTTAGTTTTATTTTTTCCGATCCATATGGCGTTTGTTTTGCCTTTTAGACTGGGTGCAGTAGGAAATTAGCGGGAAAAAAGTAAAGGAAAATTTAATTTTGGTTTTTCTGAATCAGTATATCATATAGTGTCTCACAAAAAAATCCCCATTCTTAGAGCTTGGGCAACATTTTTTTTATAGCACTTTGAAATTTTGACATAAAATATCCTATTTTGGACTAATTAAGATGGGGGTAGGGGAAATAAATGTATGTTTTTGTCACTTATACATATGCTATGTATATCAAATATAACTTGAACTTGGCTAAATAGTTACTCTTTACTCTCGTAAAAAAAATTAATCGGAATGATGACGTCATCATAAAAAATTCCAAGATGGCTGCCATTTTGGAAGTAAAGCATTTTTATAATGT